TTGTTTCATACAACCTTCTGTATATATCCTGTTCATTACTTCAGAACGCTGAAAACAAAGAGTTTTAAGCTTTAATACAAGCTCGTGTATTATTCTATTTATTACATTATTACTTCGTAACGCTGAAACAGAGAGTGCTCAAGGGACAGATGCGACATTGGGGTGGGGGTGGGTGGATGTGGGGGGGATTGAGTCTTGAATATATGCATTAGTCCTCGGTAGTACTAAGTATGCACGAAAATCGCATAATACATTCAATAATATCTAAAACTAGGAATTTCTTTTCATATTTGTAGACGTCTTTTCTATAAATGGCAGTTTCTCAAGAAAAGACAACTAGTCTTTTTCCAAACACTATTACTGATTGGCTTAGGGAAAAAAATCCCGTTTCTGAGACTAAAGCATGATTGGCGCATCTGTCCCTTTAAATTTTAAAGATGGATTCCCTTATTTTCATTTATGAAAATGACAATACTAATACTTATATGAATAGAAAGAAGAGGTGTTCTAATGACTTGGAAAAATACCAGTTTGTCTCACAGATGTCCATAATTAATTCATAATGAGCTAAATTAGAAGATAATTACCAGCAGAATTTCAATGAGTGACCGATTAAGAAAGGCCAAAAAGTCTTTTTTTTTTGCTTATCCAGACTGTACATACATGTACATTTATGATTGGTTAAAACTCTTAATTAATTTCAATAAAAACATATTGATATGATTAAGAATATATGATAATTCATTCGAAACACCAATTAATCAAAGAGTTTGCTTAATTTAACACTAAAAATTAAGGAAACCCATCTTTAATAATATACACTGTAGTTATTTATATTAACATTAATTTTATTCAATTTATACAATAACCCTTCATCGAAAAATCATCGAATTCGAACTTCACTAAATTCTCATCAATATAATGATCACATCAAATTTCATAAAAAAAAATTAGATGCCATCCATTGCGCTCAAACTTTGACATGGTCATACTAAGTCAAGGGCAATAACTCAAAAACTGTTCATCGATAAGTCGTCAAATTCGAACGCTTACGTGGAATGGTAATCGCAGCTTAATACAATGGCAAGTGAATGAAATGAAACGTCTTACTTTTGCTCTAGTTTGGACTTACTATCGATTACTGTTCGTGGAAAGTGACACTTGGTACTATTATTTTACCAGCTGACAGCTTCCAATATATCATATAATATTTTTTAAATCAAATAAATTGATAAAACCTCAAATGACTTACCGGTTTATCCAGAACACGAATACACACATTCTATTAATAAAATCTCCCTAAAATAGATTAGGATATTGACTTAGTTCATGGAATATAAACTGAAGGTCAAAAAAAACTTTACCAAATTTATGAATTTTAACAAAAAAAAATAGTATAAACCTTTGCGCTGACGAACGCTGGCAACCGCTGACTGCGAGCGTCCGATGTGCAAATCCACATATTATAGGCTGTTCCCTTGTGGCGTGTGATCTTGATCACAATGAACCTTTGATTACTTAGTGCTTGTTCCCCTATATAGGTTGAACCATCGAGATTGTGGCCTCGTGCATTGAACATGTGATCTTTCGTTGACTTATCAATCTGCTTATTAAAAAATTTCAATCTAATCCTTTATATTGTGTTTTTTTTTTTTACTAAGCGTGTTGTTGTAAAGTTTCTTTTGGCCTTCAATTTAGTTCAGTTTAATATTTTTAAAATTAGAATGGATTTTTTTACACGTTATTATTCACCAACTCGCATTACAAAGACACCTGCCAACTTGCAGAAATAATAAAATTCTTATTGACAAAATTAAGAATTTTCTCATCATAAAGATCTTCATGCAACATTAATAGTTTTGAATTCATTGATATATCGTATATATATTTACTGTCAATTATTTATGCTGAGTTTGTCCACCATAATTTAAAAAAAAAAATCAATAACAATAATCCAAATTCTTATATCACACAGCTCTCATGTCTTAAATTTATTTAGATATTTTATAAGTCAAGGGCAATAACTCAAACATCAAAACTTTAGTTTTTTGTGCTCTTGAACAAATTCAAATGTGTTTCACTGTTCATAAAAAAATTGTCAAATTGTAGCTTCTTCGAGGTCTATGACATAAATCATCTAACCAAATTTCATAAAATCAGATGAAAACTGTGGTCGTTATGTGCTGACAAACACATTTTGACGTGTTTGTCCTAGGTAAAGGACAATAACTCAAAAAAAATTCATCAAAAAATCTTCAAATTCGAACTCGTCCACGATCTCATCACTATTAATGATCACACTAAATTTCATATATTTCAGATAAATACTGTAGTCTCTATTGTTTTCACAAACAAATTTTCACGCGTTATTTCAAGGTCATTAACTCAAAAGCAATTTGTTGAAAAATCTCTGCACTTGTAGAGAGATTTACTGTAACATAATTATTACCTTTTCTATAATACAGCACGACATTGGTGCACTACACTTTAAATTACTTGGATTACTTTCTGTACAGTTATGATACATATTTAATTTNCAATCTTTATATCCATTATTATCTAAACTAAATCCGCAACATTTCAACTGCAACCACCCTTCTTAATTGTGATATAAAAAGTATGATGTATATAAGTCACATATTGTCTACAGTATGATGTATAAGTCACATATTTTCTTTAATTAACATACTGCATGAATACCCATGATTACAATCGCTCATAAAGCATGACCCATATTCGTCACATTTCAAAACTCGTATTCGGGATACAATGACATTCGCTGTAGTCGAGTTTGGAAATGTATATCAAAAATTGAACGAATTTCTTTTATATTTTTCTAATGGTTTTCAACACATAGTGCATGTAATTATGCTTGTTAAATGGATTTGACTTCATAATAAAAAATAAATATGTACCTCCATCTGTATTAAATCTAACCATTCCTCAAGATGTTCATCGTCATGATAGAGTTTGATAGCATTCTTAAAAACTTCCTCTGGTGCAGAATGTAGGTAGTGCCTTAATTTAGGTGTTTGATAAAATACCACCACAATAACTGATAATATTAACTCAATAAACAATACAACTGTTAAACTGTAATGAAGCTATTGTTAACATAATAGTATATTAATTGAACGTTAAATATCTCTTTGTGTTATAGCCTAAATCTAAAGAGATATAGAATAACCATAAAATTTAGATTTTAAAATCTTTTTATGTCGATCTACCCAGTTTCATAACTATACAACAGAATCCCTTAATAATCCGATAAATCTATAGTACGAAGTAATACGCAATTCTATAGATAATAAGCTTTTTTCAATAATTAAGTTGTTTTATGAATTTATTGAATTATACGAGGATTCTGTTGTATTATTATGACACCAGGCAAGTCCACTGATGAATAGAATACGCTTATTGGCTAAGTTTGAGAAGAAAAATATAACGTGTATATCTTAAGAGATAGTGTCCCTTTAAAATTCACACTATTATGATCGGAAATAACGGAAATAGATGTATTAACACATATCACGTGTAATTGGATACGGCTTCTTGTGATAGTATCGTAGCCCTTTAATCGTAATACGTATCCTGACATGATTGGCAACACCTATTTTGATTTTCTGGTTTTTAGTTATTTACTTTTCATTTATACTTACAGTTTTGATTAGAAGTATATTTTCACGGATAGTACCAATACAGCCAAATAAAGTAATAAACACCAGAATAATACCAAATACAGAGATTATTACAGCTGGATTTAACATAAATTCTGATATTTCTCTAGCTAATTTAGTTCTCTCATTCAATATCCATGATCCACATGCAGTAATTAGTATACCCATTATCTGGAATTTTAGTAAAAAGACTATTGTTGAATTATTTTTGGTCGATACTTTTCAAGGGAATTGGAATATCAGCTTTAGTAATAGTACTGCTAGTCTTGGAATGTCTTTGCGTTGACCAAAATATAATCTTTTCTTTTAAAAAGAAACACATTTCTCTCTTAGAAATTTCAATTCAAAGAAGTCACAAATTC